CCGGGCTTCTGTTTGGGGTGGTGAGAAAGGTTGGGAATAGTGATGTTTGTACAGCACTCTGAGTGTAATTAATGCCACTGAACTGTAGGTTTCAAAATGGCAAATTGTATGTGATGTGTGTGTGTGTGTGTGTGTGTGTGTGTATCTCCATAGGAAATAATCAAATTAATAAATAAAATAGCTTACATGATTAAAACTGTAAATATTATTCCTTTGTTTCCTTTCTTGTGCAATTGCTGTGTTTTCCAGAGTTAGTAAAGGTAACTCTTTCTTGCTTTCCCCACTTTCATGGGAACCCCTGTTACCAGTCTCCCACCGGAAGTGCAGATTCCTGTCCCATTTTGGGACCTCCCAGGGCTCTGCCATTCGCTCTCCCTAGGAGCCCTCCAGCCCCCTTCCCGTCCCTCTCAGCTCCTGTTCTCCGGGTCTGTGACCCGTTGCTCCCTCATCCTCTCTCACCACCACCCCAGGGGTTCCCTTCCTTTCTCTCCCCTGTTCTCAACTTGTCTTACTGCCTTTTATCTGTAAAAACACACCCTTGAGTCTCTTTCTGAGAAAGGTGCCTGGGAGGTGGTCTCCAGCCAGCTTCCCCAGAAGCAGGGATGGATGGGGGGGCTCCTGTGCAAGGGATTTGGGGAAGACAGGCTTTGGTAGAAGCAGCCAGCGGGTGAGGGACGGATGGGGCTGGGGAAGAGGCTGGGCTGAGATGGGAGAGCATGGGGGTCACTCCCATGCAGCTCATAGACATTCACGATCTCCTGTTTCGGTGTGGTACCCTTATTCCTAACTGGGCAGCGGGGGTTGTGGGGAGAGGGGGCACCCCTGAATGTCTGGTGGGGCAGTCACGTTGATAGGATGGAATGTGGGGAGGGGTTGGAGGATGAGATGAGTGAGTGCCCTTACCTGGATCACGGTTTTAGATTTGTTGATGGTGGGGATATGGGAGAGAGGTAACTGGGTAGGTCGTCTTTGGTGGGGAGTTTACCATGAATGGCAGCTACCAAGGACTGTGGGTTCGAAAGCTAGTGAGACTACAGCCTGGGAAAGGGACGGAGTAGGCCGTGGCCTGGAGAACGAGCCCACGGCTTCCTTCCACGGTCTCGGGGAGCTGAACTGCTAAGACATTTTCCTTCTTTTTGGGAGTTCCTGAAGCATTGGCAGTTTTCTGGGAGGGGCACTAAGGCTTCTGCGTGTGGATGAGGCTGGCAGGAGGGAAGCCGCTTTCCGTAGGGATTTGTCCTTCATTGTCACTCTTGTGACACCTGGCTCTGGCACTGCATGTGTTTTTTGGGAGATGGATGATGCAGATGTCTTTTTTCAAGACAAGGCATAATTAAGTCACTTTTAGAAACCCATTCAACGTTTTGCATGTCGGTGACGACTGTCATAGTAGTGGGAGTACTCCAGCCGAGATGCCACTGCACCCTTGGGAGTAGGTGGCTGGGTGCGTGTTTAATTTGCTCAACGCTGGAGACTCCTTTCTCGAGTCGCCCTCCCTGAGATTTGGCTCCAGCCTCGTTTCCCTCTTCGCTCGTGTCCGCTCCCGCATTGAGGCGATCATGGTCCTTGCTCGCCGAGCTCCCTGAATCGGCCACTTACTGGCTCTGTGACTTGGGCAGGTTATCTTGGTACCTTGAGATTCAGTTTCTTTATCTACAAATAGCAAGAAGAAACAGTATCTACCTCTCATGGTTTTTGTGATGGTAAGGGACGATATCCAATGTGAAGCGTGCTCCCTGGAAATAGTAGGTGATCAATAAATGTCTGTTCCCTCCTGGCCAGTGTGGCCTCACGGTTTGATTCCGGGTCAGGGTACATGTCCGGGTTTTGGGCTCGATCCCCAGTAGGGGGGCTTGCAGGGGGCAATCAATCAATAATTCTCTCTCATCATTGTTATTTCCATCTCTCCCTCTCCCTCCTTTTTCCTCTCTGAAGTCAATAAGTGTTCATTCCCTTCTTCCTTTTCCATGATAGGAAGAGTGACAGGACTACGCTGACATCGACTCACTGGTTGTCTCCAGATATTTCAAAGGCCATCACCTCTCACAGAGGAAAGACCATCCTCTGGTGCTCCAGGGAGCAGGCCTAGAGCTAATAGGTAAACATGGACGGGAGAGAGAGTCCCACTGAACATAAGGAAGACTTCTGTCCTATAATGCAGTGTCCTGGAGTGTTCAGCTAGGACAGGACAACTGTGTTATTGACACTGGGGCCAGGGACTTTGTTGTCGGGGGCTGTGCGCTACATATGTTTACAAGCACCTGTGCCCTCTAGTTACTCGATGCCCCTCGTATGACAACCGAAGATGTCTCCAGACATTGCCCAAGGCCACCTGGAGGGCAACATGGCCCTTGTTGAGAATCATTGAAATAGAGGTTAGATGGCAGCAAACCACACTCCGTTCTTCCTAGGTCCATGCCATTTCTGCCCCAAATTGAGTTCTTACGGCATCGGTTCCAGGAGTTCTGACGGTGGCTTTTGGTTTGGGATGGGACCTGCCATGGAGAATTAAAGGTCTAACCCATGTGACGTCGTCAGGCTGCGTTTGGGCCGTGGAGGGCAAGTAAAGCCACACTCGGGAGGTGTCTGGCTGGTTTAACGGTCTGCTGCTCACTGTGGTTCTGCAGGTCATGTTGGCAGCCTCCTACTGGTCCCTCCTGGCCCCAGCGGTCGAGATGGCCACGTCCTCCGGGGGCTTCGGTGCCTTTGCCTTCTTCCCCGTGGCCGTGGGCTTCACCCTCGGTGCTGCGTTCGTCTACTTGGCCGACGTCCTGATGCCTCAGCTGGTGAGTACCGCCCCTGAAACGTGACATTCCCTCTGCCGGTAGCCAGTGATTCCGGAATAGATGCTGTGGACCGTGCACGGCTTTTATGTGGAGGAACTGGATCTGACGTTTCCCCTAAAAGGAAAGAAGCTCTTGGTAATATGACTAATCATCCCCGTGGTTACGTTTTGCTAAGTTCGGATTTCAAATGTCAGCCTTCGTTATAAATATAGAGAGCAGCTGACAATGCACCATGCGGTGCCGTGTATGTGAAACTGGGAGAAGTGAGTGGCCAGGATCAGGGTCCTGACCCTTAAGAGGCTTATGATGTCACCAGGGAGATGACAACACACCCGACCATAGCGTAAGACCAGTGACAAAGCATCGAATCCACAGGGCCTTTGAATAAGAGGAGGAGGTGCGGAGGCTGGGCAGCCGGGCTCTGGGTGGAGCTCACTTCTGTCAGTCACTGGTGGCGTGCCCCTTAGCTCCGTTCCTCCTTCCCATAACTCGAGGCTAACTCCCTTTAATGGCTGCAAAGTCAAAATTCAAAAATCTGGTAACGTACTATAAAAGGGCTGGCGGGTTGGATTTGGGGAACGAGTGTGTATAAGGAAGCCAGTAATGCCCGGCCAGAGTTGCTCAGTGGTTGAGCGTTGACCTATGAACCAGGAGGTCACGGTTCGATTCCCAGTCAGGGCATATGCCTGGGTTGCAGGCTCGGTCCTCAGTGTGGGGCGTGCAGAAGGCAGCCGATCAATGATTCTCTCTCATCGCTGGTGTTTCTATCTCTCTCCCCCTCTCTATTCCTCTCTCTGAAATCAATAAAAATATATTTAAAAAAAGAAAAAAAGGAGAAGCACACTTAGAACCGCAGCCTGAAGTCTGGCTGGGATCCCCCAAGAGAGAGTCGAGGCCAGGCCATGAGACTGTGACGAAGGCCATTGGCTAGAGTGGGGCTGTCATGCGCTGCCATCGGTAGACAGGGCTGAGCACCCTTAAGGGGCTTATGGAGTGGATGGAGTCGGATGGGTGAGAGGCAGTGAGTCGGCCTCTGTGTTGCTTTCCTCGGAGAAGTGAGCATGCTGGATCCAGCAGGGCAGAGGGGTGGCTGGAACCCTTGCCCTTGGCCGTTCACTGGTCCCACTGCCTGTCGGTTAACGGGATTCTGTCCTCTGACTCCCCTGCCCTTCACTCAGCCTTTCAGATTTATTTGTCCCCCTTTTGGAGCCGAAGCAAAATATGGCTCATGAAAAGGGTTTTACTCATCACAGCCTGTCCGGGGGAAGCCACTGTGGCTTCGTTAACCGCGGATGCATCAAACGTCTCTCTGAACTGGGTATTGGCTTTTATTTATTTATCTGGGAATAAAGCAGAGGAGGCTCCCGCAGTAACAGTTAATGAGCTGGCAGGGATTTGCAGCGGCTTTGCCAAATGGAGTCTTTATGAAAGGGGGAGAGGGGGGTGGGCGGGGAGCGTGCACCCTGCTTGGCCTGAGAAGCAGCTGGCAAGAGGCCGGGGGAAGGGGCTGAGGCCTGGGCCAGCCCGAGCCCAGTATCCCTCCCTAAGGATGACCCAAGGGAGAAACAGAATGGATGCCCAACAGCTATCGATGTTGACATTTTGATGAAAAATATGTCAAAGATGTTGACATTTTGATGATCTTTGCAGTTTTGCTTCTCTGTGAAGTTTAAGGATGGTGGTAGGCGGTGAGGAGGCAAGGGCATATTTCCCCAAGGCCTCTCATCTTTCCTGTTAGTTATCCTATTAGTATTACATCAGTACAACGCAAACATCTCATTATCAAATAAAACATTTCTGTGGAAATGCCTTCCTGTTATAGACTGTGTCCCTCCAAAATTCATGTTGAGCCTAATCCCCAGTGTGACGGTCCTGGGAGGTGGGGGCCTCTCCAGGTCCTCAGGCTATGAGTGTGGAGCCCCCACGAGTGGGATTAGTGCCCTTTACAAGAGCCCCCGAGAGCTCACTTCCGCCGTGTGAGGACACAGCAGGAAGACCCCGCCTGTGAGCCAGGAAGGAAGCCCTCATCAGGCACCGGATCTGGGGGAGTTTGATCTTGGACTTGGTCTGCTGATCCGTGAGAAACACATGTCTGTGGCTTGTAAGCCACCCAGACGGGGGTCACTTGTTGTGACAGTCCTCATGTCCGGGACACTCTCCTGTTCCCATTCTCTTCCCAGCCAACCGTTGTCATCGGTTTCGTGGGCGCTCTTCCAGATTTCTTCTCTTTCTTTGAGAAAACGAATGACGTGCCTTTTAGATCTTGAAACATAACCCCTTCCCCCGTCTGCCTGTATTGTTCGGTACGCTTTACATCAGCTCCCTAGCAGAACCCGCCCTGACTCAGGAGCTCTCTCTTCTTCCACGGATTTCTGTGCGCGCACACTGATGCATATTGAATCCGAGCCTTCTCAGTGTGTTGTTCCTGAATTTGAAATGATCTTCATCCGCAGCTATTTTCATCCCCGCACAGCACCGGCCGGCCGTCTCGGTGTCGTCTGCCAGGCTGTTCCCATCATCGCGCGGTTAGATGGCCCCGGGCTTGTCTGTCGTATGTGTGCACTTGGAAATGTAATTCTCTTCTCTATTTTTGGAAAAACAAGGGCAGCACACGGTCTGCGCTGTTGCCCCGTGCTTTCCTCAGCGTGCTCTGTGTCTTAGCGTCTGCTCCTGGGAGACGTGTTCCCCTCACCCCCTCCCTCTCCTGGGATCTGCCATCTCAGGGAGGCTGCCCAGGTCTGCAGGGGCCGGGAAGGGAGTGGGTGTCGGGCTCTCCTCTCGGAGAGAGCCTGGCTGGTAGTCGTGTCTCGATAGGCTCCAGGGGACATTAGCAGGTGGTAGGGGTCCTCCCTCTCCTCAGCTCCCTCCTCCATCTATCTGCTTTGCAGCCAGTGACACAGAGCCTCTGAGAGTGCCTGCTGTTGGTGATGTGGCTTCTGGAGCACCCTCACTGGGTCCGCCATGGACACATGCACACACACATGCACGTACATACCTGCATGCACACATACATGCATGTACTTGCACACATGCATGCACTCGTACACACTGCCATTTCGGTATAAGCTGGCTTGCTGAAGGGGGCTCCCCATGCACTGGATGGTTCTTGTTACTGTACTAAAGTGGCACGGACTCTTAAAGGCAGATAGGCATGGTTGGAACCTCCAGGACTTAGATTTCCTTCTCCACATTTGGACCATAGAGTTGTGACTGAATCCTCGTCCCCTCTTGCCATCTCTGAGCCAGGAAACATGTCCCTGGGAAACGTACTGTGGCGATGTACTACACCGGTGGGTGGTTGGCAGAGATGATCCACGAGGCTGGATGGCTGAAAGAATAGGGTGTGCGTGGGGTCTTAACTCTTTCCTTCTAAGGGCGGTGGGACGGACGTGTCTGTTGGCTCACAGCTGTCTCCCTAGCTGGGTGCCTGGTGCGTCACTGCTGGAGCGGGTGCTGGCCATGCCTGTCGTCCATCTATAATAATAAAAGCATAATATACTAATTAGACCTTCCGGACAACATTCCAGACGACCTTCCGGACAAAGTCGGGTTGTGAGGGCCAAGCCCATTGTATGAATTTCATGCATCAGGCCTCTAGTATATATATAAATTATATATATGTGATATATATGTATATAAATATATATAAATATATTTATAAAGGAAGGGAGAGGGAGAGAGAGCTAGAAACATCAATGATGAGAGAGAATCATTGATTGGCTGCCTCCTGCACGCCCCCTACTGGGGATCGAACCCATAACCCAGGCATGTGCCCCTGACCGGGAATGAAACTGAGTCATGCCAGCTGGGCAAATAAGACCCTCTTTTTGAAAACTCCTTACAGCTTCTAAGCTGAAAGTGCTTTACACACGTGAGTTGTTATCCGGGCACAGATCCACGCCCTTTGCAGTCGACCACATTTTGGGCACGACAAACACGAGGCGGAGATCGTTAAACCTGCGGGCAGAAAACAGGAAAAGCTTGGCCTGAAGTCTGACTCTGCGGCATGGTTTTTATGCTTTATTTGCTTTCCTAGTTCTGTTTGCCTACGAAGCTAGAGACGTGCACTGCCATTGAGAAGGACCGTTTTCAGAGCAAGGCAATGGGAAGTGTATTAGGAGGTGGGGTGGGGGCGGGGGGGGGGCGGCGGGAGCTGGGAGGTCGCCTTTGGGTCTTAGAGAGATGTTGACACCTGGACCTCCCTCTGGAGGTTCTGACTCACTGTGTCCAAGGCGAGGCCTGGTTTCTACACAAAACGTCCCCACAGAGCGCTGCTGTCCACCAGCCAAGGTTGCGACTGCCCACTGCAGGCTACTTATAACTTGCTTTTGTTCAGGGGGTGGCGTGTTTCTGTTTGTTTGTTTTTGTGGTTCCTGTTTTTTTAATGATTCACAGCAATTCAAGTGTCTTTTTCTTTCCCTTGGAAGCCAAAGCCTTATTATTGCAAAAGACTCAGAAAAGAGGGGAAGGGGATGGGCTCAAGACGAGAAGGGGCAGGAACTGCTTCTGTGGGTGGCGGACTTCGACGCACCAGCATCACCCGGGAGACCTGAAGAACGCAGGTGCCTGGGCCCCGCCCCAGACCCGGTGACTGACAAGCTGTAGGGGTGAGGCCCAGGCACCTGGGTTTTAAACTAGGTCTCGGGGATTCCGGTGCTCACCAAGGCGAGAGCATCGCAGGACAGCCCGAAAGGTGAACCGGGCGCTGGAGGAGCCTGAGGCTGTATCTGAGGGACCCATCCTCTGGGTGGATGAGCGTGTGCCTCTTCCCGGTCAGAGGGGCTCCAGGTTCCACTTGGCACCTAGTCACTGCTTCCCTCCTCTTACTCTCCCGACAGCCTTGGAACAGCCCGCCCACTCCGTCTGACACCCCGATCCTGACTGCTCACCCCTCCTCATTTTGCTAGGAGCTGTTTGCATCTCAGGTTTCCATGTGGTAGAGCGAGGGGTTGTGGGGAGTCCCAGGAGACTGGCTCATGGATGAGGCCCAGTGTTCCTCG